TACCACCCATAGATACCAGTAGCACCAGTTTGGGAGCCTACTTAATTTCTCTGAGAAAGTGCAGGTACACGTCATGTCAGGCCTCCTGGGAAGAGCTTCACCCAACCACAGGGGGAAAGGCTCACTCCCACCTTTTGTGTCTCAGGAATATCCTGGAAACCAGTCTCTCCACACCTGTAAGCTGTGTGCCCCATGTTTACACAGGGCATGGCTCCCCCTTCCAGAATGGGGTGGAACGCCTTGAGGCAGGGACTATGTCTCACCCACTGCAAATTCAGAGTTGAACACAAGGCTGGTGGTCAGTCCAAAAATGCAGAAAACTTACAGGTTCCCAGAGCTCAAAATCCATAGCAAGTCAAGATTTCAGGAAAGCATCAGGTCAGCGGAGGAGGCCCCTAGTGAAGTAGGCTGTTCTTATTGCCAGAGGGTTAGGGCAATTAGGCAACAAACCATTTTTAGGCAAGAATGTCATGCCCAGGAGGGCTGGGGCCTCTGTCTAAAGCCCACTCCTTCTAGGCTGACTTTCCTAGTATGTACAAGTACTGGAAAATCTACTGACCCAGGCAGGCAGCCCCAAGGCTTTTGATCTTAGGCCTTGGGGGGGTCAGCAACAGGAAACAGAAGGACTACTAGAAGCTTCATCAGAGAGAGCTCCATATAGGAGATTTTATGTTTCAAACCTCATCAGCTACAACAGGAGGGCAAAGAATACAGGCCATTGTACCTTCTGACCACTCTTCCAGGAAATTGAGTTTTTCAAATAAGAGCAAGATGAGGTCAGTTCCTTGATGGCTCAGTGGATAAAGAATCCACCTGCAATGCAGGAGACACAGGAGACCCGGGTTTGATCCCTGGGTTGGGCAGAGCCTCTGAAAGAGGGCATGGCAACCCACTCTAGTATTCTTGCCTGAAGAATCCCATGGACTGAGGAGCCTGGTGGGCTATAGTCCAAAGGGATGCAGAGTCAGATACAACTAAGTGACTAAGCGCACACACACAGGTCAGTTCGGTATTTGGACAAGAAGCAGCTCTTGAAGGAGCCTTCAGAAACGATGCTTGGCCTTCTATCAGCAGTCCCCCCAAAAGCTTGGAAATATGATGCCCCAAAGACATCAGACATCAGGAGTGTTGTTACCTCCTGATATTCTCACCATGTCTCCATGAAGGCAGAAATGTAGGTTGTCAGTGTTCGGTCTTTAATTTAGATAAGGAGTTTTCCTTTCCCTGTGAGTGACTGTTGTCATCACAGCTCTCTGAGCTATTGGGCCTAATCTATTTTTTTCCTTGTAAGTTAAAAAAAGTTTTTAAAAAATTTCAAATATAATTCAACTAGATATATTTCAGTATACTTAAAAAGGGTAGAGACTTCTAAAAATATGATGTCTATTAAAGTATTAGGAAACACTTTTTATTATGGAAAATTTCAAGTATATCAAAAAGTAGAGTAGCGGAATGAACCACCACATGTCAGGAGGTTTTAACAATGATCAATCCACAGACAGTCAAATTCATCTGCAGTCTCATTCCCCCCACTTCCACACATTGGCTAGGTTATTTTACAGCAGAGTATAATCATACTATTTTATCATTAAACATTTCAGTGTCTATCTCTAAAAGATAAAGCCTTCTTAAATAAAAATAACCACAATATCATTATCACACCTAAAGGAATAAACAATAAATCCTTCATATAAAATATTTCCCATGTTCCCTGGTGGCTCTGACAGTAAAGAAGTCACCCGCAATGCAGGAGAACTGAGTTCAATCCCTGGGTCGGGAAGATCCTCTGGAGAAGGGAATGACAACCCACTCCAGTATTCTTGCCTGCAGAATTCCATGGACAGAGGAGCCTGGCAGGCTACAATCCATGGTCACAAAGAGCTGGACACAACTGAGCGACTAGCACTCATAACACACTTGTTAAAATATTTGGTTATTTTACATTTCCCCAAATTGTCCTCTATATATTTTCTTGTGTGGTTGGTTGGTTTGAATAGGCAGCTATGAGCCAATTTGGCCTCCCCAGTAGTTATAAGAGTTAGGGACGGGCTGAAAGATCAGGTTTGTAGGACACTTTGATAGTCTGAATTAGAAGAAGCCATCAGGTGATCATTCTAGCTAACAGTCAAGAAGTAAGTCCCATAAAGTCTTCAAAACACACATTATGACTCTCTTCCCAAAGTGCAAGACAACTGTTCAAATTTTTCTCTATACTAACACTGAAATATATTGAGAATGCACGTGTACACATATCCACACAGATACGTTCTCCTGGTACCACAATCAATTTCTTTTCTATGTTTGATTCTGCACACTCTATCTGATTGCACTCCTAACTTGGTTTAGATTACTAGCCTATCCCTATGGCTGAAAGAAATGAGGCAATGGTTATTAATCCTGGCAAACTGGGGCTCAGTGACTGAAATTCACAGAGATAACACCTTTAAATGACTGGGGCTCTTTTTCCCTCCTAGAGTCAGAACAAATTTCAGGTTAAGTACCTCATTTTATTACATCCTCCAACAAGGAAAGGCCACAAGGAAGCAAACATCCAGACCATGAATACTAAAAAGAAAGTGGAAAAAGAATCTGATCTTACTGTGAGACACAGTATCCCCAGAGGCTGTGAAAAAAGGAAAAGACAGAGGGGAAAAAAACTTGAGTGTGAATATCCCACACCTTGATAAGCCTCAGAGACTTGATCAACAAGGCAATGAGTGTCAAAGTGCTAGATACACATGTAGATATACAATGATTAAGCACTGCTTAAGGCCTCTGAGGGCTGCAGACACACCTAGGCAGTAATAACAGCCAGAACAACACTCATTCTCAGAGTAGTGAGCAGTTGTGCCCCAGAGCTGTGACTCCTGGGCTTTCAACTGTCAAGTGTGCCTAGCACGTTTTAGCTCACTCAACTTAGCTCGGGTATAGCTTGTTTCCATGCAAGGTAAAAAAAAGAAGCTTCCACTTGGATTCCTTGGACCAGCAAGGGCAGTCTCAGGGCCCAGTAACCAGGAGAGTGTGGTTGGTAGGTCATGGCCTGGTCAGCGAGCTGAATGATCAGAAAGACCTTTGGGAAACTGGACAGTTTCTAGTCTGTGAAATCCATGGCACTGAGAACCACCTGAGGCGCGGCTGCAAAGAGCTGCTGCTGAACACATCTGCTTACCAGTTCTACCACATCTTGAACTGAAATGTTTTAAATACTTAACGTCACTGCCCTGCCTGGCTCTTTATCAGGAAAATTGGGAACAGACAAAATCAGAAACCACAGTGACATAGGCAAGAACAGACACAACTTAAAATCTGCTTTGGATGATTGCACCAGAGCCAGGGTTTTCTAGCCTGGTAAATCAGTTTCCTGTCTGCACAAAAAACCCTGCTTTTTGTCTAAGAGCAGCGATTTTGTCTTGTGTGTGGAATAAGAGTGGAGAGGAGTCCTAATTCCAAGAAGACGCATCCACAGGTAACCAGAACATCTCTAATATTTTAATACAATGGCAGCCCGATGCTTGCCCTGGCAGAAGCTGAGGCATCCTCAGAAGGGCCCCAGAATATGACTCAAGGAGGAAGCCTCAAAGGGGCCTTTCTTCCTCTTTTCTTTGCCTTCTGTGGCCTGATGATTTCCTCTCATCACAGGGAACTTAGTCTAGGAGATATTAGCTGGGAGGATTTGGGGAAGTCTCAGCATATGCAGGTCCTTGCCATTTTGTCCTTTATTGTGCCCATCATTGCATGAAATGTTCCCTTGGTATCTCCAATTTTCTTAGAGACCTCTAGTCTTTCCCCTTCTATTGTTTTCCGCTATTTCTTTGCATTGTTCCCTTAAGAAGGCTTTCTTATCTCTCTTTGCTATTCTCTGAAACTCTGCATTCAGTTGGGTGTATCTTTCCCTTTGTTCTTTGCCTTTTGTTTCTGTTCTTTTCTCAGCTATTTGTAAGGCCTCCTCAGACAACCAGTCAGCCTTTTTGCAATAAAGGAAAGAAAAGGTATGGACCTAATAGAAGCAGAAGAGATCAAGAAAAGGTGGCAAGAATACACAGAAGAACCCTACAAAAAAGCTCTTAATGACCCAGATAACCATGATGGTGTGGACATCCTGGAGTGTAAAGTCAAGTGGGCCTTAAGAAGATCACTACAAACAAAGCTAGTGAGAGTGATGGAATTCCAGCGGAGCTACTTCAAATCTTAAAAGATGATGCTGCCAAAGTGCTGCACTCATTATGCCCGCAAATTTGGAAAACTCAGCAGTGGCCACGGGACTGCAAAAGGTCCTGTGGTCATAGGACTGGAAAAGGTCCTTCATTCCAATTCCAAAGAAAGGCAATGCCAAAGAATGTTCAAATTATTGTACAGTTGCACTCAATTCATAAACCTGAGTGCTGACGAGAAGAGCAAGGATGCCTACCTGTGAACCTGGAGTTGAAGGGAGCATTTGGCAATGACTCCAGGGTTACAGACTATGGAGACCAATTTGTATTCCCCCTCACCCCCGGGGGAATGAACAGGCAGAGGGGCCTCAAGGAGTCCAAAGATACTTCCTATCTAGGACAATCCAAGGTCACAGCAAACTAAAAAGCAGCACTGATGACCTAGTGGCCACCTCTGCTCAGGCTTTTCCTGGTGAAATGGGTTAGGTCTTCATCAGGGGCAACGTGGGCTTGGGGGCAGGACTCAAGAATGGTGACCCCCCACTTCAATAACAGCAATTATACCCTGATTGTTTCACAGACAACATTTTTTTGCCCTCAGATTTCATGGGAGCAAAGGACCTGAGTATCCCCTGACTAGAGGAGCAGATCAGAAGGTAACTTCTTGTGATTGCAGTACTCCCCGAGACTCAAGAAGATCAGCCCTTCTTAGGGGAGAAGAGAAAACTGGGTTCTCTTCATCGTCACTTTTACAACTGGGGAGCCCGACGGAGCCTCCCTCCAGGCTGTGTTTGGAATAGCAGTGTCGTGCAGAGGTGGGACTCCCCGTCCCCACCCTTGGCCACTCACCTGAGGGACACAGACAAGATCCTCTCCATCTCGATCCTCCGCTTCAGCACTTCCTTCACCAGGCCTTTGTCAGGACCTTGTTTGACCTTTTCTCGTCCAATCAAGTACAAGCATTTTGGAGTCAGAAGCAAGTCTCGCTTTACGCTCTGTAAGGACAGGAGTTTTAGAAAAGTGGCAGAGTGGCAGTAGTCGACACACAGGGCGCTGGTGAGCAGGTGAAAGGAAGCTGCTTCAGGCAGTGAACTTTCACTACGATTGGATGGTAAGCACGGTGCTTCTGATTGTTAGGCTGACATATACAAAACTGCTGATACTTGACTCTCTTTAACTTATAAAAATGGTAGACTCATATGGATCCACCTAAGGGATCAGGGCAAACCAGCACACACGATGGCCCTACCAGTGATCTGCTGCAGGATGTTCCTCATACAGGGATCCCTCAAGGGACTCTGCATATGTAATTTTTGTGAGTCCATTACATTTTTTTTTTAAAAGTCCATTACTTTTTAAAAGTGATACATTTTCATTTCAATGGTAATCCTTAAAAATCTAATATAAGTGTACTGTGTTATATCCAAACAATACTGAGACTTAACATTCATGTTTGTATTCAAACCTGCCGCCAGAGCAGCTGGCACCATATTCAGTTTGTAAGGAGTGATTTGGTTTTGGCAAAACAGCATCATCCTTCTTGTGAAATTAATATTGTTTGTTCTTTATTTTTATCCCTGACCAAAAACCAAATGAGAAATAACTCACATAAAAAGCTCTTAATGGCCCATAATCTATTATGGCTTCAGATTTCACTATTAGGGTCAAAATTTTATTAGGCAAAAGAAAAAAGACAATGTCTAAAGAAAGAGGTTAAAAAAAACAACCAGCTGTCCTCCAGTGGCTCTGTCAAAGCCCCGCGTAGTCATTTGCCCAGGGAAAATGGATAAGAACACTTCCCTTATATTCTCAATCTTTTGATCCAATGAGTCTACTCCTAACAATTTACTCTAAAAGCATAAGTAGACAAATGCACAAAGCCATGTGCAAGAATGCTCTTGAGTATCCTTTTATTTATGATGGTAAAAAAAAAATGTCATGAGAATAATAAGAAACTGGCTCAAAATAATAGTGAAGCAACTGTTGAACGGGATACTATGCAGCTAAACAAAACAATTTATACTGACATATCTATTAATACAGAAAGTTCTCCCTGGTGTATTTTAGGAAAAAAACAATGCAGAACACAAACCAGCATGTAACGTAGATTTCAGTTTTGTAAAACTAAATATACAAATGTATGTCTGCATAAAAACATTCTAAAGGATGCACACAGAATGTTAACAGTGATTGTTTCTGGGTATAGGTGGCTATTTTTCTCTTGGCTTATCTGCATTTTCCACATTTATCTACAATGGACATGATCTGTTTTGGTAATCCCAAAAGCAAAATGATGAGTTATTTTTAGAACTAAGGAATCTGTTTGGTGACTCCCAGGACTGGGCAGTCAACATGTACCTTGAACCTCCTGTCGTACTTGGTCACTGTGTCTGCAAAATCGATCTTCTCCCTCTTGCCCACAAACTGCTGGAGTTCTGGGTGCTCCTCCATCCCAATGTAGTCCCCGATGAAGTTCCTGTTAATACTGTTTCTCCGTCTCTCCTTCTTGTTCAACAGAAGGTTGGAGGCTGCAGTTCCCAAAAGGGTAGAGAAGGGAGAAGGATCAGTCCCCTACAAAGAGGAAAATGCTCCGTGTGGAAAGACACAGAGACTCTAAATGAATGCAAGGCTGCAACGCACAGTATGTGCAAAGTACAGTGAACCTGTAACTTCATCTAAGCTCAAAAATATTCTTGAGATTTGGTACATGAATGCAATAAAATGACTATAATACCCTCTTCTCTCATTTGGACATATTTCTTCCGGGCCACGAATTTCCTCCATGATTTCTGTATCACTCGAGCATACCCATCATACTTTCGCTCCCTCATTTCTTCTAGAAGAAAGAGCTGTGAATAGGGAGAAGACAAGTGTGAGTCAGTTCACAGGACCTGAACATTACTTTCCTGGATAGTCCAAGGACACTCAGTTTAGTCAAGGACACAATGGGAAGCAGCTTCTCAGACTCATATACAAAGGTGAAAAAAATGTGTTGCTTATGGTCACTATAACTTATATATAAATATACAGAGACAAGATATTTATACATACTTTAAAAGTTTGTTTAAAAACGAATTCATTTTTGGTTGCACTGGGTCTTCGTCACTGCATGCAGGCTGTCTCTAGCTGTGTTGAGTGGGGCTGCTCTGGTGCTGCACATGCTTCTCCTGTTGTGGAGCGTGGGCTCCAGGCACACAGGGTCAGTGGATGTGGCACATGGGCTTAGTTGCTCCACAGCATGTGGAATCTTCCTGGACCAGGGATCAAACCCACATCCCCTGCACTGGCAATGGATTCTCATCCACTGTACCACCACAGAAGTCCTTATACATATTCTTTTATTAAAAAATAATGGAAAATAGTTGGATCTGAGTATATTCAGTTGGATCTTAATGATGGTGTCTGCCAAACCTTGTTCCTAACCTCTCTAAGAATCAAATGAGTGATTCAACACACACCCATTTATTTCCCACCTTGATCCAAAGAGGATATTAAATGGCTAGATCAAATGAGCTCATGGAGGCAGCTTTAGTGTTGCATACAGCCTCTTACTAGAATTTTCCAGCTTTTGCAGAAAGCGCATGCTGCTGTGGAAAGAGGGCTGCCCAACTTTTGGTTCCATGAGAGTACAGACTTCTTGCCTCATAGAAATCTATAGGGAGTCACTGGGCGGAGGATAATAACCAGTGATTGGAGCTGGGCTTATGATGTGTTAATAAGGACTTGGATTCACCAAAAGGGGCTGACATTCAAGTCATCTTAATGATGAATACTGTTGTACACCACTCACCAAAGCTCTAGAGTAACGAAGATGACAGCAAACAGCTGTAATAAACTGAGTACCCTCAATGGATCAGGAATCATTCTAGATGCTTTACATACATTACTTCATTCAACCACTCAACAACTACATGTACCACTTATTTGCATTATCTCCAACTAACAGAGGAGAACATCAGTACTAAGATTGGGTGGAGCTGGAAAGTGAACCGAGGTCTTTGAGGTTCTGCCAGGCTCCTCCTCACCTGGACACAGAATCTGCATCTAATCAACTCATAAAATGGTGGGAAACTCCTATTCACCTAGGAAGTAGTTTACATGACTCTCTAGGAATAAAAAAACAGACCAATAAAAACCCAAAGTAATGATGACAGATGTCATTGTAAAAACATTCCAGAACTAAACAAGCAAATTTGGTTTGAAGACAGCTGGGCTTGATTTGTTGTCTCGGTTTATTTGGGTCTATACCCTGGAGCCAGTGATCTCTCTTCCTGACATTCAACTTCTCCTTCTCACAGATCCACCTCAAACTGAACATATCAAGAGAGGGGCACTTCATTCCACAGCCATCAGTGCCATATACAATAAACAAAGGTGCATATTTCAAGAACAAAATATTTTTTCAACAACTGGGCAGAATGTTTAAAAATCTGAGCCCATCAGTTGCCTGGAAGATTATCCATTGGTGTTTTCTTATCTTCTGTGTTGGGTTTCTGAGTAAGTCTTATTTTCTTCTTCTTTCCCAGAACTATTTTGAAAGCGTCATAGAAAATATACTTGTGACTCAGAAAGGATGAAGAATCAACCAATTCCCAAATTCCTATAGACTAGTTCAAAGATGAGTTGGTTTTTAGGTTCCTTCCAAAAGCATAGGGGTTAGAAATCAGGGAGGTTCAAGAAGGAAGAGAGAGAGAGGGAGAAGAAGAGAGAAAAGCAAAAAGCATGGACACATGTAACCAAACCAAACCAAACTCTCTGATGCCTGATGTCTAATGTGGGTTCTTAAAGCAAATGGGTTATTTTATAAATTCAGCACATTTAGTATAAAAGTTAAAGCAAAATCACAGGGTAGATTTTTAAAAACTTTTTTTGGGCCATGGCTTTCTTGTGGCATGTGGGATCTTAGTTCCCCAACCAGGGATGGAACCCATGCCCCCTGCAGTGGACGTGTGGGGTCTTAACCAATGGACTGCCAGGGAAGTCCCTAAAAAACAATTTTTGTAAAAGAGTCTGCAATGTCAGGGCTAGATATGGATGGATGAGTAATGCGGGGAGGGGAGAGAGTAGTAATGATGGGTGTGTGTGTGAAAAAATGGGGGAGAGGAAGAGTCAAGTGAAGGTAAAAAAGCAACTGGGAGGAAAACACGGAAAAGAAAAACCAAAAATAAATCTTGATTTGAAAGTAAAATCTCAAAGCTCAACTGAATCAGGAAAAAAAAAAGCATGAAAAACATTGAGGCTGTTTCTGTGAAAATTCAGCAAGTCAAAAAAGTAAAAACAAGAGGAGCGGGTATAAAACAGAAGAGTTCTCCATTGTACCGATAAATCACTCCATCCTGTTTTAGAAAGAACAGGAACTGTTCTGTGGGTTGCTTAATGGTGTATGACACAACATTTTCATTTTATATTTGGAAATGAAATTGCTGTGAAGCTCCAAATAACTCAAAGTGGAAAATGCTACCACAAACTTTTCATACGGGTTCTATCGATGTGTGCCACTTACTTATTTAACAGCCTTTAAAGTCATTCAGTTACGACCATTAGCACTTCTGGTCTCAGGCTGATTCTGGGAGGCAGGCAGAACAGCAGTGATGGGGCCCCTTCTAGTGGAGAAAACGCATGGCAGGACCAGAATTTGCCTAGAGTCAAGGGTTTCCATTATGACCAATACTGCAGGTTCTCTTGGTGATATGGTGACTACTTTTGCCAAATTCACCACCAACTCTTTTTTTTTTTTTTTGGCTACACCACATGGCATGTAGGATCTTAGTTCCCCAACCAGGATCAGAACTGTGCTCCACTGCAGTGGAAGCAAAGAGCCCTAACGACTGAACCACCAGGGAAGTCTGTCTCCATAGACTCTTGAAAATAGTCTTATGATTATTACAGGAACCTCAAGAAATGGTGATACCCACCCCCGGTTAGTTCCAGCAGTTTCTCCAGCTTAAAAATTGTCTTCATTTTTAATCTTGAATTATCTTCATTCCACAGGCCCAGAGCTATGGGGCAGAAGGACTGAGGGGCTGTGTTGGGTTCCTGCTCAAACTGGGAAGTTCCTGTGAACAATCATTCAGCTCAGGGTGACCACATGCTCCACAGGAAAGATTAAGAGGTTCCACTAAATTAATCTGTGGAGGTCTGATAAATATGTAAATTGTAAAACCTATGTGTTTTGAGTTCCTTACTGGTAAACATCTGTATCCTTTAAGATTGGAGATTTCTCCTTCTATCTATTGGTCTCCTCTAAGTCCTTTCTGCATTTCCTCACGGTCTTCAAGGTATAGTCCTGGGAATTCTCACACCCAGGCTCTGCTCCACCTTTATGTGACAAGACTTGTTGGGTGTCACCGAGGTGAGGATGTAGGTTAACCCAAGCCTCCTTTCTGGGCAAAGAAGTACCTAGTAGCTGAAACACTACTGCACACTAAAAAATAACTATTGGGCACCTCTTCTGAGCCACTTTCCTCACGAAGCTCTGCGTACACAAGGGCACACAAAACAGACCCTGACCTCAAGGCATTGACCATCTAGAATGGGAGAGAAGAAAAGTACGAAAAGAAAAGCTCTTGTGATGATAGCTTTGTATCCAAGCTGAGGACTCTGAATGTGCTAAGGTGGGGGGCATGAACCACACACAGACTCGGAGCAGCGGAAAGCCTTCTTTGAGGAACTGACATTTAAGACATGAACCACGGGATGAAGTAAAGAAACCAGGCACATGGTGGGGAGGGGGCTGAGAGGGGGCTGCAGGGAGAGGCGTGGCCCAGAGAAAACTCACAGATTCGGGGGCTTTGATGAACACTTTGCTCTTCCCTAGCTGGAACTGGTCACTGTCCATGTTGACGGACTGCAGCAAGTGCAGGACGCCTTGTTTCTCATCCCCCTTCCATGAGGGCCAGGTGGCTTTGGTCAGGATGGCATACCTGTGAGGAAAACAAGGGAGAGAAGGGTCAGGTTTGGCCTGGACGCCCCCAAAGGCACCTAGTGCCGCTGGAGTCCTAGCCATCCCCTCGCTCCCTTCCAAGACTCAGGCAGAGACCTTGACAACTGCGAAAACCCACTGGGTCTGGTATGCCCATTTCAGAGCCGCCGCCTACTCTTTCCTTCTCCAACCGTTTCCATGCTAACGCCCTGAAGAAAATCTGCTTTTCCTTTCTACCACTGCCTAAAAATAGCATCGCTGAAGGTCACCAACGACACTCTTCTGGCAAAATCAAATGGTCTTTTCTCAACACTGATTTCCCCTGATTTCTTGGGAGCACTTAACAATCAAAGTGAAGAGTTTTATGAAGCTCCCCATAAGCAGCTGTTATGATTACGATGGATCAACTTTCAGCTGTGGAGTTCTCTGCATCTTGAGTCAGGAGGCCCTGGTGACTGGTCCTCAGCTACTCTCCAGTCTCACCTCTGCTCTCCTCTGGCTCGCTCCGCTCCTGGGAGGATGGCCTTCTCTTCCTGCACGCTTGCCCTCTTCAGAACCTTCGCCCACACTATTCGCTCTACCAGATGTGCTGGTCTCCAAACCCCTTGGGGGCTGGCTCCTACCCAGGGGTTGGGGGTGTGGTGGGGAGGGTCCTCCCCTTCAACGACGCTTCCATAGAAACCTTTTTGGATGACCCAAGCAAAAACTGTACCCTTTGCTATTTTCTCTCATAGGAAATAATATTTTGCCTTCAGAGTATATATCAGTTTGTAACGATAGTCATGTCTGTACCTATTCAGGTAATTTATGTCACCCCCATGGGGATAGGAGCTCCATGAGGGGGTGTCATATCTGTGGGGCTCACCCTGCACATCTGGCACCTGATACAACGCCAGGAACACGGCAGGAAAGAGTCACCTGTTGTAACTGAAACGTGCTCTCTGCATCAGGTGTTGTTCTTGGTGCAGTTGCTGCTGCTGAGTCACTTCAGTCGTGTCCGACTCTGTGTGACCCCACAGATGGCAGCCGACCAGGCTCCGCCATCCCTGGGATTCTCCAGGCAAGAACACTGGAGTGGGTTGCCATTTCCTTCTCTAATGCATGAAAGTGAAAAGTGAAAGTGAAGTCGCTTAGTCATGTCCGACTCTTCGAGACCCATGGACTGCAGCCTACCAGGCTCCTCTGTCCATGGGATTTTCCAGGCAAGAGTACTGGAGTGGGCTGCCATTGCCTTCTCCGTATTGGTGCAGTAGATTTCTTTATTTCTATAGCAACCTCTGTCAGCTGGTCTTCCCATTGTGCAAAACAGGAAAGAGAGGAAAATAGAGAACTACTCAAGGCTACTCAGCTAGCAGATGTCAGAGCTGAGATTTGAACCCCAGACTGTTTCTTTCATCGTGGCAGTACATACAAGACATGGATTGGTATACATGTAAACCTTTCCTTTACAGATGATACAGCCTACTACATTTGTCTATGTGAGAAACATCATAATTATGTAAGTGAAAGTGAAAGTCGCTCAGTCATGTCTGACTCTTTGCTACCCCGTGGTCCCCATACAGTCCATGGAATTCTCCAGGCAAGAATACTGGAGTGGGTAGCCTTTCCTTTCTCCAGCGGATCTTCCCGACTCAGGAATCGAACCGGGGTCTCCCGCATTGCAGGCAGATTATTTACCCACTGAGCTATGAGGGAAGCCCAATTATTAAGAGGCTAACCTAATAGGGGAGATAGAAGCCTCTTACAGAATGTCAGATACAAAAGGTACCAAAGACTTGAGGTGGAAGGAAGGAAGAGAAGGAAGAAGGGAGGGAGGAGAAATTAGAGGACAGTATGGGTGAGAAATTGGAGGGTGTGTTCTATGTGCAGGCACATCTAGAAGACAAGCAATGAATGGGCCCCAGGCCTCTAAAGAAGCCCCCATCCTCCTCTGTTCTCAGAAGCTGCTACGAGGAGTAGGCTACTAATGGCATCAAAGGGAGGAGGGAACCTTGACAGGGAGAGAGGCTCTGCCTTCAGGATCCAGGGCTCTCTAAGAGGACACAAGCAGGCACATCACACACTTAGAGCCAGCTGGTTGGGACCACGGTGATTTAGCGACCCTCTCTGCTCCTCCTAAATATCCACGTTCTGCCTGATAATATAAATTTCCTCAAGAAGCAAATCCTCCTATTCACTAATTAGAGATAAAAAGCTTAAAAATGAAAATGTCTACCTGAAGCCACATATTAGCACGAGTACATTTCACACGTGGCATAATAAAGGCGGCTACACCAATTAAGCCTCATAGAAATGACTGACAGCAGAGATGCTACTGGGGGATCTCACTGGTGAAGAAGTAGTAATATATCTGCAATCTAAAGGGAGGAGGGAGAAAGTTCATGCAGGGCATGGATGCAAAAGGAGAGACCAGACCAAGGTGACACGTTTCTTCTAAGAGTGCGATTTTGCTTGGCTTGATTTAATCCAATCAAAATAATAAACCAAAGCATTTTTATTGTGCAACTACAAATAGGTATCTCTTTGTAATTCACATCAATCCCCTATTAAAATAATACTGTATTTCTCTCTCTCTTTTTTTAATAGAAAGGAACTTGGTTTCCAGAGACTTTTTCTTCTCCTTTTTCCTGACAAGACCTCTAAGAGTTTGGGTCTGGATAAGACATGGGAATTGCCTGTCCCTTTGATCATGGACCACTTGTGGTGGTTCCCTTTGCTTTTAGGAAGACTGGCAGCATTCTCCTCACTTTCTTTTGTACTTCACTGGAGAGACCAGAGCATAATTCTAGTACAATATTCTCTCACTATGTAAGTACACTCAGTTCACTCCTGTTTCTCCAGGACATACTGGTGGGAATGGGTTCATAAGGCAATGGGATGCTGCCTAATAGGTGCTTATGATAATTTTGCAGAGATGAAAAAAAAATTTTTGCAGAGATGAGCATAATGACTCCTTTCATCAAGTGTTTTCAGTTTAAGACCAATATTTTATCCCAAGGCCTTTGCACTGGCTGTTGTCGCTGCCTAGAATTCCCTTCCTTGCCCCTAGTCTGCAAGGCTCCTTTAAACAGTTTTTTTCTTTTTAATGTATTTTTGGTTGTGCTAGGTTTTTGTTGCTGCTCACAAGCTTTCTCTGGTTGCAGCAAGTAGGGGCTACTCTCTAGGTGTGGTGTGCAGGCTTCTCATTGTGGTGGCTTCTCTAGTTGGAGAACACAGGCTCTAGGGTGAACGGGCTTGTGTAGTTGTGACGCAGGGGCTCTAAAGCATGGGCTCAGTAGCTGTGGCCCACACGTTTGGTTGCTCTGAGGCATGTGGGATCTTCCTAAACCAGGGATCGAACTTGTGCCCCCTGCACTGGCAGGTGGATTCTTAACCAATGCACCACCAGGAAAGTCCTGCAAGGCTTCTTGTAATTGCCCAGATGACCAATCCAATGGTTCCTCCACAGAGGAAAGCCAGCCCAAACTTGTGACCTCCAGCTTCTGGCACTTGGATTTAAGGATGTGTCTGACCCCCAAGGACACTAAAAAGTCCTGGGAGCCAGCAGGACACTCGCTACACTCCGTGCTTGAGATAATAAAAGTATAAACTGATTCAATTACTCACAGTGGATCACAGGATGAGAAAGTCACTGACAGACTCTGGACAAATCCTGTTACAGTCCCAGACTCATACACCTTACGGAAAACAGCACTGTCCCTGGAAAAATATTCCTTACCCACTGACAGATATATGGCCTTGTAGCCATTTTTGAATAGGAGGCTAAACACATACTTTATACTGAAAAACAAATTTTCTTTCTGAACTTTGTATTATCCTCCCAGTACTTTCAAATCAAAACAAAAAACAAAAATATGACAACATCAAAAGAGTCTGCTTTGTGTAAGACAGGGAGGCCTGTCTGTCTTTTCTAAAAGGAAAGGCCCACAGCAGGAGAGCTAAGCAGGAAGGCATCTAAGGATAAAACCATTTCCGAAAAAGGCCCTCGACACGAAGGGCGTAACAGATATGCACTAAACGCTGACTCTGGAAAGTACCAGTCATGCAGCCACGCAGCTAGTACTTGAGAGAGGTCCGGATATTAGAACCAGGTCATTTCACAGCTCATTTAAGGAGCTACTACAAACAAATAACGCAGCCTGCTCAGGGCACCCCAGACACTTTGGCCAAGAGTGTGGACTTCCTGCTCCCGGCAGAGTGGCGGAGTTCACAGTACTGCTTACGGAAGTCAAGTCTGTCAGTTTGTATTTAAATAACATGGAAGGAAGGAATTGGTTTCTCAAAAGAAAAAAAAAAATAAGGTAAAATTAAAAAAAAAAATCTGATCCGTTTTCAATAGCAATGCCAATTAGAGAGAATCTGAAAATATCGAATAAAGAGTTTTTAAGTACAGGAGCTTCCCTGGTGGCTCAGTGGTAAAGAATTTGCCTGCCAAGGCAGGGGACACGGGTTCAATCCCTGTTCCGGGAAGATCCCACATGCTGCGGAGCAACTATGACCATGTAACACAACTACTGAGCCTGTGCCCTAGAATTGGTGAATCACAAATACTGAACCCCGTGTGTTACAACTACCAAGGCCTGCACACCTGGATTCTTCTGTGTTCTGCAAAAACACAGCTGCTATGAGAAGCCCATACACCACAATGAAGAGTGGCCCCTACTCTCTGTAACTAGAGAAAGCCTGTGCAAAGCAACAAAGACACAGGGCAGCCAAAAAATGAATTAATCTTAAAAAAGAACTTTAAATAAAAAAGAAAAAGTTTTTAAGTATAGAAAAAATATTGAAGGAGAATAAAACTAGAAACATTTTGGAATTGTTGAGGGCAAGCCTTTCGAAATTAAGGCAAGTCGGACGAAAATACTTCTTGTTCACTATTTTCTGTATTTAACTTTCTTCCCTCTTAATTAAAAAAGGGTATTTTCAAAGAAATGCAATTCTGTGAAAAACCTTAATGATAATCTAAGCCACGGTTCTCTCAACTGACTTTGTCTTACCAGGCCACATGGGGCAATGTCCAGATACAGTTTTGGGTGTCACAACTGGGGGAAAATAAGGGTGGGATTGGTACTATTGGCATCTAGTAGGTAGAAGCCAAGAAGGTTGCTAAACATCCTACAATGTCCAAAATAGCCTCACACTAGGACTCATCCAAACCAAAATGTCAATAGCTGAGGCTGAGAAATCCTGTCCTAAGCTAGTGCCGGCCATCTCTTTAAAGAAGAGCAAAGTCGTTCATAATTAACATCCCAGTTGTCTGTCAGCGAATGGATGCTGCTACAGTGATGCAAGAGCACTCCAAATTTGTTTTCTAACCTTCCTAAAGACTTCTTTTCATATTGCCGTGCTTACACTAGAGGTGTAGTGGGCCTTTTAATTCAGAGAGCCCTGATGGTGAATTTTATTCCTAGTTTAATCAGCCTCCAAAATCATCAGCGATCTTGAATGTATGGGGACGAAAATCAATGAAGTTTTACTGTACGGAACGATCCACCCTTTGGCCAAGCCGCTCCTGATCTTCCACATCAATGACCTTCCACAGATGATGACCCACATTGATAAGCAGTGGATCAGCCATCCCTATCTCCCAGCAGAAGAAACAACATCCTCAGAGGGAAAGCTACTCTATCAGAAACACTGGATTTCAAAGATGGCAATTAAGTTCTTCTCCTTCCTAAACCTCTTTGTTACATAAAATCTGAATTTAAAAAAATGTTCTTATATCTTGCTCCTGTATCATATGCCAGGAAGACATAATTATTTTTGATTAAAACAGTAAATATGGCTCCCTTCTTTCAAAAAGGAAATTAAATAAATGTAGAACATCAGTGAAACTCCACTAATTTAGAGTCACTAGAGAAGTTAGAATCATGTAGTATTTTAAGAACACTAAATTTTATCCTTTTTAAAGACAACACAAAGTAAGAAAAATTTAGCACAGATCCTGCCAAATGTACTTTAATAGAAATATAAAAATCAGTTTATGTTTGGACAAAAAATTTGAGGTTAAATACTTTAAGCTTATTAAATATTTTCATGAAATTTGTCTCCACACTATTAATTTGCTCAGTCAGTTAAATGTCAGTCCCTCCCCATGTCACAATTACCATGAATTTCTGAACTGATGTATCAGTCTAAACAGACAAAATACTCGATTTTACTTAAAATAAATGATGCTTTAAAATGATTTATTCACAATAAATGATGCTAAAAATAATTGTTATAACTTAATACTAAAAACACAAGTAATTTAAAAGTGATCAAAGGACTAGACAGACACTTCTCTAACAGCTAATAAGCACATGGAAAGATACTCAACATTATTTTCCATTAGGGATGTACAAATCAAAACCACAGTGAGAAACTACTTCATACCCACCAGGATGGCTAGAACCAAAAAGTCGGATAATAACAAATATTGGCAAGGATGCACATAAACTGGAACCCTCAAACACTGTTGGTGAGGATGTAAAATGGTATAGCCGCTTTGTAAAACATCTAGCAGTTCATCAAAAAGGTTAAACATAATTACCATTTGACCTGGCAATTCCATTTTTATGTATGTATCCAAGAGAAATAAAAACATATGCCTACATAAAAATGTGTACGTGAACACTGATAGGCACATTATTTGTTATTCATAAGAGCCAACTGTGATGTCTATCAGTTGATGGATGAACAAATAAAATGTGGCATGTTAGAACACTGGTGCAAGGGAATATTATTTGTCAATGAGTAGGAACGAAGTGCAGGTACAAGCTATAGGATGACCCTTGCAAACATTCTGTGACGTGAAAGAAGCCAGAAACAAAAGACATATATAGTTCTATTTATAAGCAATACCCCAAATAGGTAAATTTATAGGGACAGAAAAAAGTGTCGGCTTAGGGCCATGGGTGAGGTGGGGAATACTAGGAAAGTGGGATTTCTTTTGGAGGTGATGAAAATATTCCTAAATTAACTGTGGTGATGGATGTACAACTCTATGAATTTATTAAAAGCCACTGAACTGTATACTTCAAATGGGTGAATTGTATGATATGTAAATTATATCTCAATAAGCCTGCTTAAAACATAAAAGAGTCCCAAGTCACCAGTCTTACCTCTGCAGGAACTTTTGGAAGACACGCCGATAGGCATAACCAGCTCTCCTCACTCGAATGTTCTCTTTGAGGCCTAGGTATTCCACTTGATGCTTCACCCTATAAAGGAGAGAGGGAGCCAGGATGGGACTGGGTAATCTTTTCACCCTGTTCCCCTATCCACTATACCCACAAACTCCCAGTTTCACACTCCAGGGAAGCATACTAAAAAAGATCATAAATTATAATAATCTGAGTCTGAGCTGGTCCTCAGGTTTATAATATTCACACATATCTGGTAAACCAAAGCGGTAGAAACCTGAGTCAGGAAAATAACTTTCCTTTTTCCCATCCTCCAAATCCCAAACTCACCATCGACCTTTTCTCCATTAAGGAAATTACACATGATGCCGTCAATTAAGAGATATCTGCTCATTTAAAGTCTTTTTCACAAATACTGGCTACACCCCAAGCTTTGAGGCAGGGAATGCATTACCCATTGACTCAAGAAGAAATGTTCCTTCCTCATGAATCATATGGAAAACAATATGCTTCATGTGAAAGCATTGCTCCATTCATTATAACTTCTGTCATTAGGAAATTTTTGTCAACCGGACAACCGGTTCAAAGTATTAATATTATGTTATGTTTAAAATTCCATGTTTTTTACATATTCCTGGAGCACCATCACTCCTCAGCACCATCACACCATCACAGCCTCCATCAGCCAGGCTGGCAATACCTGCTGTTCTGTGTAAGCCGTCTCCTCCTTTCAGAAGGAGTCCTCTTTCAAGACTGTCCTCAGCCATTAACCCAAGGTTAGGGCCAGAGAACTCCACCAGGCAGGGCAGTAATTCAGAATCCAGGGCAGGCAGCTTGCCCAAAGCCAAAAGAAGACACATTTCCAACAGGAAAAGGAAAATAAACTACACGCCATAAACTTGTGGAATGAGTAACCCTGTCCACCGAGAACTTAACTGACCGTGTGATCCCTGCCAGTGAAGCACACGGCCCTTCCACGGACCCTGACGTTTCATGCTCACAGATGAAGTGAAACCATCAGTGCTCAGGCGCTCAGTCCTGTCCGACTCTTTCTGACCCCAGAGATCACAGTCCACAAGGTTCCTCTGTCCATGGGACTTTTCTGGGCAAGGAAACTATAAGTGGGTTGTCATTTCCTCCCCAGGGGATCTTCCCGACCCAAGGATCAAACCCACATTTCCCATGTCTCTTGCAATGCAGGCAGATTCTTTACCACTGAACCACCGGGAAAGCCCCAGAGTGAAACCATTGTCACAGTATGCCCGAACCAAGCCCTGACGGCAGATCCCAGGATGCCATCCTACTGGAAACACAAATCAACATTCGACTAAGGAATACCTTAGTCTTTGTAACACCAGTTTACAAGAGTGTATGTTAGGAAGTTCCTCACTGAAATTCAAATAAGGGGTGTGATTTAAAAAAAAAAAAAGTGGGCAAGGTGGACACCATTGGGAGAAATTCTACGAAAATTTACTGAATAAAATGTACCACTGTCTTCATTTCTCCAGTCTTTGATATCGCAATGACTCAGTTTGGATTTTGAGAAGGTGACATCACGACTGAGGAACTTCCAACCAGGAGCTACTGCAAGATATTCGCATTAGAGTGACTTTCAGCAGAGCCGAATGCAGGGGGCAGGGGAGGGTGTCCCAGCGAGGTACTGCGTTTGAGGATGAGTGAGATGTTTTCATTCGTGATTATGTTTGCTGGGAAGGGAAGCTGGAGAGTCTGAAGTAGGAGGAAGGGAGGGCTACAGCACTTCTTAGCAATACCTCTGCTTTCTAGACTCTGATGCTGCCGACACCACCCTCTACTCAGTGTATATGTGCATGAGATGTAAGTGTGGGTGAGTGAGTATAGGAGTGACGAAGAGACAGGCAGAGGCAGGATAACAGACACAGGGGAACAGATCTGGGGGTGTTCATTCTGTCTGACTGAAGAAGTCCCTCTCTGGCCTGACCCTCTTATTTAAAGAGGAAGAGATTGAGGACCCAGGAGATGAAGTGTTTCACTCAAACTAGTTGGTGACAGACCAGGACAGGATACAGTTCTTCCAAATCCTAGGCTAGAACTTAGCTCGAGATCAGCTGCTCTCCAAATATGAGGCCCAGATCATCATCACTCACATCACTTGGGGGCTCGTTAAGAATACACACCCCCAGGCCCCACCCCAGGCTTGCTGACCTAGAGGCCCTGTCATAAGCCTTCCAGAGGATATTCTGATGCATACTCAAGTTTGAGAACTAGTGTAGAAGGCAAAAAACCCGACATTTCCCATCTGTTATCCTCTTGACATCAAAGGAGAAAGTGTGTGACATGGTTCAGAAAAGCAGAGGGCTATTTAAGCATATCCAGAGGAATGACCAAGAAGGGGCAAGGGTGGATTCCACATCCAGCTCCTTCAAAGGAATGGCTGGAGTGGCTAAGCGATGGGTTCATGGAAGAGAAGATCCCAGGGAAACATGGCAACTGCCTTGAACTAGCAGAAGAGCCATCACACAGAAGAGTCCCAAGAATGATTCTTATGGCCAAATAGAATAAAACTAACTTAGAGAAGGGCTGCAGTGCCAGCTGGTGGCAAGAGGTATCCAAAGGTGAGCTGATGACCCAAGAGGAATGGATTTCCCATCAGAGCATGAATGTCATCTACAGATAATATTGTAAGTGAGTCTTATATTATTTTAAATTGAAAAATTTGAGTAATTCTATAAAAAAGGTGTTTTAGGAATCCACATTTATTGATGAGATTATTCAGAAAATTGTGAGATAACCAAACAGAAGGCTGCCACATCCCAGCAGCACCTTAAGGTGAGAAAACAGTCTTAGGCTGCACCACAAAGTGTGAAAATACAAAGAAGGATTTGCAGACAGCAAGTGCTCGCACCTGGGCGTTTTCCTTCCTATTTACCTTTTCGTCCCTAGAAATGATCAAGCATTGTCTGTCTGCTATGGGTTGGAAAGGGTCTTGCTGGGAAGATGGGAAATGAACCCTCTAGGTCACTCGGGGGAAGTGATGAGCAGCTAGGAATTTTCATCCTGGTTTTCCTATTGGAGTTTAACCTTGACTAAGTCAGCTGATACCTAGAAGAGTCTATGTTTTTTTCCAAGAGAGAAAAGAAAAAAGAAAAAAAGATAGGCATTCCAGCATGAATTCTAGTATGAACAGGAACACCAGTATACTCAAGTCCATTTCATCTGGTGACAGTGGTAGGACTTCTCTCTCTAGTCCAAGTCACTCACAAGGTCTCTCTTCAGCCCTGCTTCCTATGTTCCTATAGACAGGAGGAATTTCCCCAGCTGGATACAAAAACTATATTCTCCAGTCATTATCAACATTTTCCTACTCAATCATCCTGCAGAGGCCACATCCCTAAATGGCAGGTGTAGGAGGAATGTGATGTAGGACTCCTCAGAAGCCAGGGAGGATATGGCTCACTGCTTATATGCCACACATCTCCCTTGGGCTGGTTCCCTCCTAGAGAGTCACGCTGCTCATCAGCACCATGCTCTGGGGATTACAGAGCCTACAGCCCCTCTGCCCACATAAGCAACTAAACGACAGATCGTTTTTAACCAGCTCTGCAAAGCCCCACTTGCAACCCTGAGCTCAGCATTCCAGGCCACATCCTGTGGGTGCTGACAAGGAGCCGAGTGCACTAAGCATGTCTGCACAGGGCCTAAACTAATCTGAAAACCATCCTGACTCTGCTGTGCTGGGGTTTGCTTTCTTTTTTCCATTTGCCCCCAGACCAGCCAAGATCAACATTATAAATCGCTAATTCTGAACTGAAGGGCACTGCCAACATTTCAGGAAAAAACAAGGAGGGAAAAATGATATATACATAGGTTTCTTCCTGAAGTCAAGACACAAAGACATAAAACACATCTGAAGACAACTGAAACTGCCCCTGCCTTGGGCAGAGGCCGGATGGCCTGACTTGAGCAGTCGGAAAACAGGCTGAGGCTGCCCTTGATGTTAGCTGAGCTCAACCTCCACCTGTGCCTTTGCCATACCTGCTTTCCTCCCAGTCTTTGGGCTTCTTGGTTTCATTGGGTTTGATACAGCGAATGTAGTGAGGTGTACATTTCATCAGGGTGCTCACAAGGTCATTGGCTTGTTTCTGGAAAGGAAGAATAACATTATTTAGAAACATGGAACTTGCTCTAAATCAGCTTTCCAAGGAGACTTGTGTACAGCCAGAAATTCATCCTCATGACAGTTTGTTCATTAGATTTAACTCAGGGCTACTATACTTTCTCAAATCTCTACTGACTGTTATGGTGATCTGAACACTCACAAGTGCGTTTGAAATTAAATTTTTGACAAAAATGAGGCCTTTTTAGTATAGTTAATAAAATAAAAGCAAAAAAGAATCCCCCAAACCCAGTATATCCAGACACATAACTTTTGGAGAAATAGAAAGCATGCTAATTACTAACAACTTTAGTTAATTTCATAACAACTGAGGGCTTTTGAAAATACATTTTTCTTATANCAAGTCAGCAGAAGGGACTTGCCTGCAGTAGACAACCCTCTTTCAATTAGGACTTTTCTATTTTCAAGGGTTTGGGAAACCCGAAACCCTTGAGAAAAACTCCAGTGTATTCAAAGCAAAAGTTCTCATTTTAGATATGCAGAATATGGCATTATTTGCAAGGCCTGGAATTCAGAGCAGAGGTGCAGAGGCTGTACGAGCAAAGCAAAGCTCCACGATGAAAATGTACAGTGACTTAAGTTCCTTGTTGATGAGAGATTGTATTTTTTTTTTAATTCCAAACTCTTATTTTTAAGAATAACTTGGCACACTACTTAGTCCTAAGCATTTAAGAGCATCTCTTTTCAACCGAGCAAGTTGAAAACACAGGGGCAAGTTTGACTTAAGTTTATATGCCACTTGACACAGTTCTTTCCAGCTCAAAACAGTAATGTACTGAAAATGCTTCATGGACTAGACGCATGGATTTTCTTATTTATGACTCACTATTATCATTCCCATTTTTTTAGATGAGAAAATGGGGCCTTAAATAAAGTACTGCTCGAGATAACACAATTAGTAAGCAACAGCAATGAGGCTTGAACCCAAGTCTGTGAGCTAGCAAGTTTTCTCCCTAACCACAATGCCTTCCTCCTTCCTAAGGAAGATAATGAATAATTTATTGTAATACCAAAAGGAATTAACTGGGAGGGTTAGGATTAGACAGAAGCCTTTAGATTGTGGGATGATTAATTTGAGCAAAAAATAATTTATCTTAACCATCACAATTATCCTGTACTTAGCTATGGGTCAACTATAGATGCCCCCCGAGGTAGTGGGGAAGCCACAGTTTGAATTTACTCTGACTCCAGACAAGAAGAGCCCATGACTTAGAACAGAAAGCTACCAAAGCTACTTGCTGAGCAGAAGTGGCCATCAAGATATGCAGACCAAACAGTAAGCAAAGGTGATACTCCTTAGGGAGATAGCTCCTCATTCTACGCTCCATGTAGATTGTTGGCAAGTCTGAGCTAGGATCCTGGCTCTGCTCTTTGCAAGCTGTCTGACAAATCACTGAATTTCTTTGGACCACAGTTTCCCATCTGTAAACTAAGCAGAACTAGAATACTACTATTATCTCAATGTGCAGGCTGGAATATATGTTTAATGTCTACTGGTCCAATCACCTCATGGCACTTGCATCTCCTGTCACATCTGCTCCTTTAGAGGCCTGGCCCACTTAGATAAAGCTACCAGCCCAGTCTACTTTGCAGACTCTGAGCTCCATTCTATCTCCCAATAGCATTAACCTTTGGCTCTAATTTCAAAACTGGTCCCTTCTAGTCATGACAATGTAGAATTTAGGAAAGCCCCAACAATCACATGTTATTAAATAAAGAATATGCTTTATAAACAAAGATAATGGAAGTTCTCACCAAATATTCTATAAATTAAATTCTACAGAATACTTTCACATTTTAAAGAATTAGAATATGTAAAATACCCAATATTAAAGCTACCTTGAAATATTAATTTTTCTTCTAAGGAATACAGGATCCCTTTAAACACGTATACCTCCGAGATATCATTAAGATGATAATGTAGCTACTATATATAAAATAACCAACAAGGACCTCCAGTATAGCACAAGGAACTATACTCAATATTTTGTCATGATCTATAAAGGAAAAGAACCTAAAAAAGTTATACATATATATGTATAACAACCATTTTGCTGTACATCCGAAACTAACACAACATTGTACATCAACTATACTTTAATAAAAAATTTTTTTAAAAAGATGATGCTTAGCATCTGCAAAATACTGAGGATATGAAAGATGTAAGAGATTGGGCCAGAACTACGCATCTCTAAGAGGTGACTTAGGAGACATAAAACAGGGAGACTCACTCCTATGTGGAGGCAGAACATCAGACAGCCAGAGGCCACATGGTTCACCAAGGAGGGACCATTGGAAGTGAGAATGTGTAGAGTCCAGTGTCCCTCAACAAGCTTGCTAACTCCCCCAACCACAGCAATCCAGAACATTCTGAGTATGCCTGGAAGGGGGCAACTCTGAGCATTCAACTAGATAAGAATAAGAAGGAGGCAAAGGGTTCAAGTCTTCTGAGGAGAAGAAAAATGCCCCTGCTCCTGCCCTCCTTTTTATAGGAAATAAGCTGGACTGAGAATCCAGACCACTTGAAGGTGAGTCACTGCAGCCCTGGTGACCTGGGCCCCTTGGATGTGAATGTGTGACAGTCTTGTGACCAGAGTTTCCAGCCTAAAGCGAATCCTCCTCCAGGACCCTGAAGTGATAGCATGAGTCAGAGCCGTGCACAGAGGTCAGCATCTGGGGCTTTGTGAGAACTGCAGCTCCTCTCCGCCCCAGGGAACTCCATCCAAACTCCGTCCCGGGACATTCTATGTCTCCATTCCTTGAACAGGATTGTCCTTCATCCCCTAGTGGACTCTACCCTCTAACTCAAGACCCAGCTTGCATCTGACTTCCTCCACAAAACCTGAGGCTCCTCTGGATGGGATGGTCTTATTGCTGTGACATTACAGTGTTTGTGTCCTCAGAGGCTGGGGAGGCCGGCTGCCATTTTCTTGAAATGTTCAGAGTAAAAAAGCCAGTGAACAGAACAGAGAGGAACAACCACCATATCCACAGAGCTCAGGTTATTGAGAAGGGTGAGAAGGGCAGGTAGGATCTGGCTGTATAGCTGGTGGGGGGAAGGACAGTCCAGGTGGGCAGTCAGCATGGGCGCATCAAGTGTCCACTGAGAATTAACCAGAGATGAAGAAGCACGGGAGAGAAGGACGGGACAGATGGAGTAGATGTAACGTGAGAACATGCACTTTTGTGCTTCTTATGTTTCAGGCAGTGTGTGCCTTAGACGGATTATGAAATTAATTACCACAGTATCCCTCCTGAGATTAGGTGCTAAAATCTCTACCTTACAGAGAAGGCAAAAGAAGCACTGAGAATTTAGGTAATTTTTTGGCAATCTATGTGGTGAGAGATTTGAACACTTAATGACGAACCCCAGGTCCCTACTGTTAATCACTTGATACCATTGATTATAAAGACAGGGTGGTATTTTATTGGTATGATTCTTTAAAAAACCATTTTTAATATGCACACTACTATATGTAAAATAGATAATCAATACTCAATACTCTGCAATAACCTATATGGGACACGTGTAACTCAATCACTCTGCTGTACACCCGAAATTAAAACAACACTGTAAATCAACTATACCCTAATATAAAATAAAAGTTAAAAATAAATATATAATTTTAAAAGTGTTTTCATCGGTATAATTAAAAAAGAAGAAGTTTACTGACTGGTTTACAAAAAATTACATGATGGAGTGTGTTCAACACAACCCTTAAGGTCAGAGTGTTGTTAGGGACAATTTTACCACACAAGGCCTCTGATAATTCAGTGCACACCCCACGAGAGGCTTCCAAGAAACAGTAAGAGAACTTCCCTGGTTGTCCAGTGATTAAGACTCTAAGATCCCAATGCAGGGGGCATGGGTTTGATCCTTGGTCTGGCAATTAAGATCAGGCATGCTGCAAGGCACAGCCAAAAAAAAAAAAAGAACAAAAGATACACTAAGAATTCCTCTGATTTTGAGATACTATGGGGCCAAGGTGCCTGTAATTCACAAAAAGAAGGGCCTGCAAGGTCCAGTGAGGAAAGTGCAGAAATTCCCCTTAAAAGGCCCAGTAGAATTTGAGGTATGTATAAAGTACTTGGAGGAGTTTTGGGGTCTGGTGTGGAAAACCATCACCAAAATCCAAAATATGGCTCTAGATCATAAAATCTCCGATAGATTAATGTGAATTTTCCTAGATTCAGCACAAAGCCATTTCCTCTTAGAAAGTAGCTGATTATCATCTGCTGACTATTAAGCTATGCGGTACTTAATATCCCTTTGGGGTTTTAGTACAGCCAACTCAAATCCAGCTAGTATCCTGTAACCCTTTCTGGAGCAGCTACATCACTTCTGGCCATCTTCTGTAACCAATCTGTTGTATCTCACTGACCTTAGCCTGGCCCAGGGCTATGGTTCCTGAGTCCCAGAAAATCCTACCTCTTACAGGAATCCATAAATTTCCCCAAATAGAACAAACCTTTATTTTGCTTCCGGCAGTAGTTGGGCGCCCTTTCTTGTCAGCTTGCAGATTTTCTGGAAATAAAGACTTTATAAAAGGTCTGGAAAAAAAGAGAGACAATGGATTAGCAATCAGCAAGTATCTTGGGGGCTGGAACACCTTCTTCCATAGAGAAGTGAGAGTCATCCAGAAGCGTAGAACCTTGACTACAGAATGGCCACCTGACTCAAAGCACAATCCATCCAGTTAAAGACTTAGGAAAAATAAAGCAGTGGACAAGAGGAACACAGAGAAGAATTCTAAGATAGAAGCATCTTGGAAAATAAAATTGGAAAAATAAAATTTTAAACTCTGCCTTTCATGTTTTCCCACCCACTATTATTGAGACACACCTTGGCAGCAGGACACAACAGAGGGGGCTGAGTGTGAATTTGCCGAGTTAAATAAGATAGGCCAGAGCACGGGGATGTGTAAGAATTGTCCAGATTCAATGCAGATTCTGCTTTGCTCTAAAGCAGGGTTTCTCAACCTTGGTTCTAAGGATACTTGGGATTGGATAATTCTGTGTTGGGACCCCAGGGGTGGGGGTGGGGGTGCTTTACATATTATGGGATGTTTCACAGTATCAGTGGCCTTTGCCCACTAGATGCTAATAGGCCACTCTTTCTACCATCCCTCCTTCAAGCAAAAGACACTGACGAACTGTGCTTTTGAGTATGAGCAATTTTAAGTGAAGCTAATTCACTAATGCTATGCTGGCTGAATGTATCTTCGTTAGTAAGTGTAACTGAGCTGCATCTGTTGATATGCCTGCCTCAAAGGACACAGGGCAAGGACAATGTCTTAGTCACTGTAGTGTACCCAGTGTCTGGAACATAACCTCTACCTTGAACACAGTAGGTGCTCAATAAATACTTGCTGACTGACTGACTGATGGAATGAATGGGATCCAGGTAAATTCCTCCTAAGTGACTTATTAGTAGTAGTAATAGTGCTAGTGGCTCAGTTGTGTGCAACTCTTTGCGACCCTGTGGACGTTAGCCTGCTAGGCTCCTCTGTCCACGGAATTCTCCAGGCAAGAATACTGGAGTGGGCTGCCATTTCCTTCTCCAGGGGATCTTTCCGACCCAGAGATTGAAGCCGGGTCTCCTGTATTGCATGCAGATTCTTTACCATCTGAGCCACCAGGGAAGCCCAAGTGACTTACTGGGCATCATGAATTTTCCCCAGGACGTCTCATCATGAATTTTCCAGGAAGTCTCCCCAGTAATAATCTACTTTAAACCTCACCAGACACAATTATAGATTTTTACAGCACATGTGTTTTCTAAACAATAGACCATGTCTACACGACACGAGTTTTAGACGGAAGCATCAAGAGCTCTTGAAGTTGGCAGTAGTTTTAATAATTAAAAAAAAAATCTCTGAAAGCATGTCTGCACCTGATTATCATAAACCGCACAAGCCAGGATTTGTGGTTTACCTGACCTTTTAAGAACAAATAGATTTTTATGTTTCGAATGAAGAAATCTCTGAAGGGAGGGGTGTGAGTGCCAAGGAAGTATAAGCCTGGGAAGATGCGGGCTGGGGAGAAGTGGAGGCTGGCGGGAGGGGAAGGGGATTAAACAGAGCAGAAATGTGAACTGTGGACAAAAATGAAAGTCAATTTTGCTTTCATAGAAGTCAGGCCCTTTCTAGAAAATAATCATGTTTGCAGCTGTTGACTAAAGCAGTTAACCCCGATATTATGATAGTTGAAGTAAGAGACTGAAAGGACACTATTACTTGGAGGAAGCTCTAAAACTTGTAAAAACTGGAAGACTGTGCAATATTGCATTTGCCTGGCATAGAGAGGCTTGATCATGTAAATGATGCCTGACATCCATTACCCAGGACCGTGGGGACCTTTGCAGGTAACAGGAAAGGAAAGGACATGGCAAATAGGTCCTGAGTGCTCCAGCAGCTTGCAGGGGGCAGGGGGCGGGGGTGTGGTGTTCCCACTGCTTCTATGACCACAGCTTAGTCAGGGTCTGGGGACTTAAGATGGATCTCTGAGTGTCCTTCCCCGAGTTCTTGAGCCATTTCTCAAGTGCTTTAGCAACTCATGTTAACTTGGGTGGAGCTAAGCCATCAGCATTTTTAAAAACTGAGCAACTGAGAATTCTTAGGATGATATTCCAAGGGCAAAGTTTCACAGAACCAGACTATTCCACTCGTACATTACACGGCTATCCCAACCCAGTCCCAGGATGGGCACTTCTTCTAGATAATACCATTGAACATGATGAAGCTGGAGACCCTGAAGGGCTTGTAGATGACACTTAGAATGTAGGGTGGGAAGTATTAAGGATAAGGGAGAGACTAAGATTGGGGGGATAACTATTTTAAGAAGTCAAATTGTCTAATGATAACTCTGACCCAACAGCACAAGGAAGCAAAATGCTGACCAGTCAAACATTGCAAGTTTGTCCTAAAACTAAAAATCTGATCAAACCTCTGTGTCAGATAAGGTAAACACACTTACAGCTCACTGCTTTGCATAAGCTCGATCAGATCCATAAAAAGCACATCACGGTTCCGCTCACAAAAGCCATCCATGTCATAGGACACCTTACCAAGAATGGAAAGAAATCAAATTTTACCTTTTAAATATTTCATTGAACAAAACATCCAAGCCAGCATGGCTATCTTTCACGGAATATGCATATTTTCAGATGTAACAAATGGGCTTTCATCCCAATATGTCACATTAAGGCTGTGCATGTTTCACTTGCTAGATGACTTAGCTGGTGATGGCCTGGAGATGCTGATTGCATACACGATCCAAAAGATACATCACTAGGCCCCCAGCTCTCACAATTACATAGCCCTTCTTCTACAGATATACGGGTGTGTAAATAATACACTGAATTCTTTCCCTAAATTTTAGCTAAGATGGAATAAAATGAAACTGTGCACACTAATCCACTGCAATGGGCCATGTCATCCGAGGCTTTTTGATAGAGTTAGATCAATTTAGCTACAGCCTCATGTTCAAGGATCCTCCCTGGTTAACAAGAGATTAATTGTGATGAAGAGTGAGACCAATGAATTTCCACGGTACTGTGAAGTCTCCAAATATCATGACCTCAGTTTACTTATCTGTGTATCACCAGCACCCACACAAAGCCTGGTAATGCAGTAACACCCAGTACTCATGCATTTTATAAGAACAAACCCCTGGTCCTTATTTATACTCCCAAGGAAGATCGGCAAGTAAAAAAATGCAGGCTTGCATAACAGGCAAGACGAAAGCTCATTCCTTCAGCAGTTAATATATATGCTGATTCATATTTACATTATATAAGGGTGATTCATGTTAAAAAATACACAGCAGTGTATACTATCTTTTGCTTGTCTCTCCAAATATTTCATAAGCCCCATGGTGCACGAATGAATGATGGATCAATAAAACACAGTGAGGCAGATAAAACTATATGGACACTTTTCAGTTGCCTCATGAGAAAACAGATTACATACCCAAAGGCTTAATACAGGTTAACTTCCCCTTTGTTGAAGCCCTGCTCCCTGGCCATACCTTCCCAGCATAATGGTGAATAATGAAGCCTTGGTTCCAGCTGTTGAAGTGCTCATGGTTCCCAATCTGCATCTGCAGTTTCTGGAGCAGCGTCTGGTCCGCCCCCTCACCCACCGCGTGCATCGTGGCACATACATCATCCAGAATGCTCATGATCCCAGGAGGGTTCTGATAGGACCAAGAAAGCAAAGCCCCAATTCACTGACTGTTCTAAAACATACCATGTTCATTAGGACTTTCCTTAAATAAGGAAACAGCTCC